CCAGGGGAATTTATTTGAAAACTAATCCGTGATAAACCGTGACATACATGTAAACAATGCGTTCGCCCACTGCATATTATTGACTGCCCACTGCAATCAACTTTAATTTAGTTGGCATTCAAGAAACGTGCGTGGGATGTTCGGACGCACAGGTTCCTGAATCCAGTAGCAGCGTTCGCATACCAAAAATCGATAAGAAGTGGGTGGAGCTTACTTTTGGCCAGTGGTAGTGAACCTTACACATTGTGTTGGCCAGGGTATATTTACGTGCACGGGTCGTGCAGCACGCTCACTGTTCACGTGCGCTAGGTTGTGGAGTAATTCCCACATCCCCGCGCATTTCACGTTTGGATGTAAACAATAAAGTATCACTGGTAGTTAACAAACGATCAGTATACTGTTTTAAAATAATATTAAGAAGATTTAGGTAATATATATATCATGTTGAATTATACAGTAAATAATAATAATTGTCTCAAGTTTTAACACACATAAGTCACTGTAGCTGCAAAGCACGTCGTGTGGTATTACTTTACTAGTCATGCAAACAGCAGTACAGCCTCGTCGCACCACTTAGGTTTAACCGTGTCATATTGTTTTTAACGTTTGGAAAAACTATATACATTTTATACAGGGTGTAGCTAAATAAAAGCTTCCCTACGTAAGAGCTTGTATGTCTACAAAATACATTTACTTTGGACACACTCAACACAGACGGAAATCCCCAGTGCCAATCAAAATTTTACAGTAGGTAAATTTTACGTAATTTTTTCCTTTTCCACCAAAAAGTGTTGCTAGTTGTAAGCTATTGGAGTACCTTGAAATGGCTCTAGATTGCTCTAGATTCTTATAATTTTCAAAAAATTTCGGGGGGGGGCATGCCCCCAGATCCCCATAGAAGTCCGCGATGTGTATCAGACTACCAGTCTGTCTCTCTGCTGTCAAAGTGGAGAGTTGCAGTTACCAAGGAGCTACATATAACAACGATGTGGCGTTTCCTTAATTGTGAGCCCCCGGCAAAGAAGCATAAACAGACATCCGACGAGAGGAAGGAAAAACAGAGGGATTATAATTATGGATATTGATAATGACTAGTAAACACAAGGAAGAAGATGATATGCTGTTTTATTACTGTAATTTGCTCCCAAATTGGCGGGCCTCCAGCTTTGCTGGCGGGCCTGCAGCTTTTAGGAGCTATAGGCCCTGCAGGCCTACAGCTTTTTCTGCTCAGTGGCAAACACTGGTGGGGAGAGAGTAGGAGGGGCGGGTGGAGGGGGCTCTAATAGCAAAAGCAGTTCAGTCCTTTGTTAACAGTCAACAAATCCATGTTTAACCCTCCTCTTGAGGGTCAAAAGGTTATCAGACACTTACTCTTCGCACGTCAGCGGAAAGTAGATTTCATGGTCCTTTCAATAAAGTGATAAAAATGCTAGGTCAGCGCTGAAACAAAAAAGTTTTGCACTCGGTCCGTTAGACCATGTCCTCAGAAAATGTCTGATCTGACCTTTTCCCCACTGCCCTTTGACCTGTGACCTCCAATTTCGCTCTGGTGATGGGTTTCCTCCCCATCACACTAGGTCGAGCCATTGCGATTTGTGCCGCAATTCCGTATTTCCTCCTATACCTTAAGTTAAGGGGAAAATATTCCCCCGCCATTGACACATCTTGACCTTTGACCCTTGACCCCCAAATTCGAAATCCCCGAGTCCTTTTCGCGACCCCCCCCCGACGTCCCGAATATCAAGATCGTACGTCGAGCGGTTAAGATTTGTGCCGTAACTGTTGACACATGAACGGACGGACGGACGGACGGACGGACGCACGGACGGACGGACATTCATGCGATTCTACAAGCTCCATCTGACTTCGTCAGCTGAGCTAACAACTGGGTCGGCATATGTTTCCATAGCTCAGAGTATGATCGTGACGTCACGCACGAACTCGGCTATCTCCGAAGCAAACTGCATGCAGCGCCCCTTCATACAACTCAGGATACGAGTTGAGCGCCATCTGTCGTAGAGTCGGTCTCCGAAGGTGAATGCATGATGCATACTGCCCATGCAAAGACAATAGAACACTAATAGTAATAGTTCTGTATAGGAATGTTCTGAATATATAATATATTCTGATAGTAATCTGTTCTAGGGTCCACGTCTCTGCATTCACCTTCGGAGATAGCCGAGTTCGTGCGTGACGTCACGATCATACTCTGAGCTGCTGAAACATGCTGACCCAACAACTGTCGCCGCCTTACTACTATTCGCATATACCACTGATCTCTATTATACTAAGTTAAGTATTATTATATTATAATTTTATTATATATTATTATTTATATCATTATATCATTTATAGATTATATCATATATAGATTATATTATATATATCATTATTATATATAATTTTATATATTATAAGTTAAATAATATTATATTAAGTTATTATACTAAGTTAGTATAGTAGAGATCAGTATAATATATCATCAGTATCAATATACCGATGTCTGTGCTTACAACTCTGTACGCCTACTGGCGCCATCTAGCAGCATGTAGCACCGATGGAATTGTATGTTTTAAATCTTATGATACAAATATTTCTGATCTGGTGATTAAAGCGATTACGTCACCGTAAATAGTAAAAGTAACAAAAATATTTCTACTTTTTCACAAAATGTAAGTAATTTTGTTCACTTTTTATCGTTAAATTGCTGCATTATACTTCCTATTTTATTATATTGTTCGATGTAAACATGCATACACTCGTGACTCATAGCCCATAGCAAGCAATTAATGTCAGGATCATAATATCAAATCGTCTAGGTTTTTTGGATTTTTAACTAGTTGAGAAACAATCTTATCAGGTAAGAAATTGACGATACATTTAGTCCCGTTAGTACTTACTTTTAATGTAAAAAAATGGCAACAAAATTTTTACAAATATATACACCATAAAAAATTCGTCACGTAGTCAATTTAATAAGTGTTTTCTGGTTGATTGATGATATTCATTCGGCAGGGCACGATCGTTTGACGTTATCACGTATACTTCTTTGAAATGACCCCTAAAACGCTAGATATCATGAAAAAATCAGGATTCCAGCCAAAAGAAGACAATAATTAGATACACTTAATTAGCTCTCTTAGCCTACAACACGAGTGTATTTTTACAGTAAATTGTAGGTTCTGCGTGCAGCTAACCTAAATAGTATATCCTAATTTTTGGGAGAGCGCTCGGTCGACTCATACACAGGTCAAACGAAGAAGTCAGTTGTACGGCCGCTACCACGCGTGTGTTTTATTCATTCTTGATATTATTCATATCATATTATTTTTAATCCCGGCCGCCACTAGTGTCGCAGTTATATTATAAACAATGTATTTATTGGATGTCTTATGGTTAGGGACAATTATGATCTTATTCTATATGTTTTATCCACGTATGTACACGTCTATAGGCCTACGTATGCGTATATATACGTCGATACGTCGGTTATACGTAGGGTATGTATGTACAACAAACAGAGTAGTGGTCAACAGATCAATGTGTTACACACAATACACGCAGTAAATAATGTAAACGCTGTCATACCCTTCTATATGTATTATTATCATTACAATAAGTGATATCGGAAAGTCCAGCTGTGCTATTAACTTTCTTCATAACATTCTTCACAACTTATGACTTTACCCTCGAGCTGGCCAGTAGGCCTACAAATAGGATGTTAATTGCCTGGCTAGTGCTAATACCGACCCCTGACACTTTCATATCGCCCCCCCCCCCCGATAGCGACAGCGCATAATTATTGTCTATCGTTGCACCCCTAGTTATATGTATTTCATTTTTTGTCGTTGATTTTAAGTGGTATAATGAGTGCTCTCGGTCACCTGTACCACGAACCCCCGGTATGGCAGCGTATTGTACCTCATACTAATACTGCCTAATAATAATGCCTATAATATATGCCTAATATATATGCGTAAGATTATAGGACAAATAACCCCTGGACAACTACCCCACGGCGGACAACTACCACCCGGACAATTACCCCCCTAGGACAACTACCACCAGGACAACTGCCATCCGGACAACTACCCGCCTAGGACAATTAACCCCCCCCATGGGACAACTACCACCCGGACAACTGCCACCCGGACAACTACCCCTAGGACAATTACTCCCTAGGACAATTACCCCCTAGGACAATTACCCCCTGTGACAATTACCGCCCGGGCAACTACTCCCCAGGACAATTACCAAAGGGACAATTACCACGCGGACAACTACCCCAAGGACAATAATTACCAAAGGGGCAATTACCACCCGGACAATTGAACCCCACCAACCTGATGATTACCCTCTCATGACCGTTACCCGTCTACAGTACCAGGAGTACAGATTAAAATATACACATGCAGTTCGCTTTAATATTGTTTTGAGCTTACGGTGCCTGTAGATTCTAGAACGTTGTAATGTGTAAGTTAATGCCTCGTACAATCTGAAAACGACATTAATTTTCATTCATTTCTAATTGAAACAAAATTGTTTGAATATTTTCAATGGTCATTTTGGGAGACAATTGGAAATTCGTGAAATTTCACACTAGAGAAAGATTTATAAGAATATATAAAAAGAAATTTATAATGTTTATGGAAACATGAAGTACGTCATTAATCCATTATAGCAACTTTTTTCTTCAGTCAACTTTTCTGGCAATAACTTTTTAAAGGAACAATTTTAAAATCTGTGCTCCTGGTAGTAACAGTATGGTGAGTAAGTGTAAATGGGTAACGGTGTGGTGTAGATGGGCCATCATTACTGTACGGGGAAAGGGGGTAATTGTCCGTGTGGTAGTTGTGCGGGTGGTAATTGTCCGGGTGGTAATTGCCCGGGCGGTAATTGCCCCGGTGGTAATTGTCCTATGGTATAGCTGTCCGGGTAGTAATCGTCCTAGGGGGGTAGCCGTCCGGGTGGTAGTTGTCAGGTGGCAGTTGTCCTAAGGTGTAATTGTCCTAGGGGATAATAGTCCGGGTGGTAGTTGTTCTGGGGGGGGAATTGTCCGGGTGGTAGTTGTCCGGGAAGTAGTTGTCCAGGGGGTAGTTGTCCGGATACGTATGCCTAATAATATAAGCGATATCCGAGAGCTTCGTGATGCGCGCGTGTTGTGTGTTAGTATGGACTAACAATTTTTTGTCACTGCATTGACGTTGTCAAGCCGAATTCCCGGTGTAAATTTTATTCATCCCGTTACTAACCCAGCTTCTTAGCTATATAATTACAGAAATATATTTTTATTTCATTATTTTTTGTTTATTTTGTTATCTATGATTGTTATAATTTACATGTCTGAAAATTTACATTATCGTTTACTAACACATAAAAGCTGGGGAATGAATTGCCCACATGCAGGTATAGAACACATATAGACATTTTGTAATATAAAGGGTAGAGAACGTGACTCGCAATAGTAGAGAAACACCAAACACGTATAATGTTTATATCCACCCTAACACAAGGAATAATTAATTATAAATAAATTTATGTAGGATATATAATAACGCAAGAGATTTAAAATAATTATTTGCTAAAAGAAGACAGGAGCAAAACATTTCTCAGCGAAAACCAAACTTAATATTGTATTGCAACATCAAGATGCATCTGACATTTTACACAAGCTATACTGCAAAAGAATCTAAAGGAAATGGCCATGAAAGCGCTCTTTTACAATAAAAATCACCATATAACAGGAAATTTTTCTTATCGGGTAATTATTTAAACAGCGGAATGTGTAGACGTTATATGTTCTCCAATAAACAGTATGATCACGAGACCCCCGAATACCAACAGTCAGCCCTGTACACCTTCTCGTCTTGCTCCGCCCCAAAAATCATTTTGCAACTAACTATGCCTCAGAACATGTTTCTAATTAATTATTAAACACATACTTGTAATGCAGATAAACAAGAGTGCTATGAATTCGAATATTATATTGTTTAAAAATTTTCGAAATTGATGCAGGTTACTGATACATATCCATAGAACTATATAGACCTTGGCGCCACACACCGATAATCGCCATGTTTTTAAACAAATTACGTAGTAATTAACGTCTCGTAACATATAATGTACTTATACAAGAAAACATTTTTGCAAAAACGTAACCGAGTTGTTTAGCCACAATTGCCAACGTTTTACCTGGCTTGACGATAAGCGTTATATCTATACATTAACAATAATATATATTATAATATAATATGTAGCATATCAATGAGAGGGGGTGTGTTCACCCGTCACTCGCCTCTATTAGTTTGTTCGACTTTATCAAGAGCGTATAAAGAAGGTAATATATAT